TTACCGGAATTTGGATTTTTTTTTCTGCTTGTCATTTCTTCGAACAAATGATGCTCCCTTTTTCATTTCAAAAAATGAAAAAATTTTTTTTTTTTAATTTTTGTTCATTACGCGCATACACAGACACACAATGTTTTTGCCATATTTTGATTGATTATTTATTGTTCGTTTTCATTTGTCCTGTAAATGATTTATGAACTTTTCTGGTTCATATATTCTACATGTATGAATCAATTGAATGAATGAATGAATGAATTGAAAAAATTAAAATTTCCGATATCCGATAGCCATTCTGAAATTGATGAAATTTTCAAAATTTTATCATTATTGTCGTTAGAATTTCAGTTGACCAAAAAAGAAATTTTCAGAAAAAAAATGAAATTCAATATTATAGGACTTTAATGTGAATGAAAATTTTTTTTTTTCTACCATAAATAATTATTGAGATTGTATACAACTTGTGTGTTGTATTTTTGTTTTTTTCTGGTTATTGCATTCTGGTTCATTTCATTTTCATTCCATCATTTGCATTGATTCACGATTGACATACACACACACACAACAAACAGTATGAATCAATGTGATCGTTTCTATTTTCTTATCTATCGTTTTTGTGTGATCATCATCATCATCATGATCATGAAATGAACGATTGATGCAATTTTCCAAATTAAATTCATTCGTGTGTATGTCTGTGTGTGTGTGTGTGTGTGTGTGTGTGTGTGAAGATATATGTTTCAAGAATCAATCTTTCTTGATTTTTTTTTCTCCACAAAAACGAATGAATTTAAATTCGATTCAACTAATAGATCCAACTTTCTATCATATGATTTGATTTGATTTGATTAGTGTGTGTGTATGTTATGCATACATATCATCATCATCATCATCATCAACTATTAATCTTCATTTGAAATTCTCTTTTGAATATATAAACGGTAGTGATATGAAGAAAAAAAATCATTGTAAATCAAATGAAATTATCAAATGATAATATTGAAATGAAAACCAGGAAATTTAAAATCTGTTTTCAAATTTGATATAAAAATTTAGAAAAAAAATGATTATAGCGCCATTTTTTGCCTGGTGGTCGTTTTACACGATCAGTTTTCTTTTTCATCATTTATTATCGATCAAAAAAAAAAAAAAACAATTCACAACAACAATTACTGTATATTATATTGGATAATTTGACATCGTTACATTCGTTTTTGATCAAAAACAATATTTTCGATAAATAAATAAAATGAAAAATATTGTGTTCGGCCATCGACCGTGGATGTATTAGAAGAAAAATAAATTTATTAGCCCAAAAGGCTAATTGCATCACGGATGTCACACACACACACACACACACACACACACACACAGAATCTGATTTTGATTTTGCCTGTAGCCCGTATATTGCTTGACAATTTCAAAATGTCACAATGAGAAAACAAAACAACTGAAAAAAAACCAAAAAATATAAATCATTCCGGCGGTGGTGGTGGTGGTGGTAGTGGGTGATGGGTGGTGGTGTAAAGAATAACAAAAAAAAGGAACTTGCCATGAAAATTACACAAGAGAAAAAAATGAAAATGAAAAAATAAATAAAAAAGGGCCAGAAGTGGAAAATGAAAAAAAAATCCATTAGGAAATTCTTTTCTTTTCTTATTTTTTCATTTCATTTAATGACGACGATGACACACAAAATTTCTTCTGGTTTTTTTTTTTTTTGCTAAATTCTCGCTTATATGTGATGCTGATGATGATGACATTTTAAATTTTTTTCTTTTCTCCATTCTTAACAGAATTTTCTGATTTTATTTTTGTTTTTCTTATTCTTCTTTTGATTTTTTTTTTTCATTTGACATCATCATCATCATCAGTGTTTCATTTTTGAATTTAATTTGATTTGATTTCTTTTTTCTTCGTTATTGTTGCTGTTGTTGTTGTTGTTGATTCTGGATTCTGGATTCTATCATTCGAATGAATTTTTTTCTGTCCACATTTTTTTTTGACTATTTAGTGGACGAGAACCAAAAAAAAAACAATGAGAAAATTAATTGAAACAATGATGACAATGAAATGAAAAAATGAAAACAAAGCTTGAATTAAGCCAATTTTCAAAATATTCTCTCAACTCAACATTTCAGAAGTTTTCGATTTTCCATTTCGTTATTATTCTTTCCGTTTGTTTGTTGTTATAAGTTGAAAAATTTATACTTGAAATGAAGGATTTTCTCTTACTAGTTTTTCTTAATATATCTTCAGATACTATTCTATAGAATTGGGATTTTATTCTACTTTTTCTCATTTTCGTTTTTCCAATGAAACATCCATCCCTTATCTTGTTTTTGTTGTTGTTGTTGTTGTTGTTGCTGCTGCTGTTGGTTATTTCATTTTATTTCCGATGTATAAAACGTTGTTTGTTTGTTTGTTTCACGGATTTTCTTTCACTAAATCTAATGTGAAATTGATGATGATGACGATGATGATACTTTTGGCTGATAATTTAGCTTACCATTCTATTTGTTTGTTTGTTGATCTTGTTTTTTTTCGTTTCAGAGAAATTCTACACAAAAAAAAATCCATTTTACTTATTCGATTCTTTATCATCATTATTTATCATTGCAAAAGAGAGAGAAAAAAAAAGAAAAATCGATGATGACAAATCGAAAATTATTGAGAAAAAAAACTGTTTCATTCTGTTACACACACATTTATTTATTTTTTGATATAATTGTCCATTATATCGATACAATCGATATATTTTTCTTCATTTGATTTTCAATTATAAACATGTCATCACACACACACACACATCATATGATCATGATGATAAAAATTGATTCATATTTGTGAACATTATGGCCAAAGAGAGCCACCTAAAAAAATCAATGGCCAATTCATATTCACATTCATATTCGATTTGATTTGTTTGATTAATTTTTCACACAAATCAGAAAAAAAATCAAATCTTTTTTTTTCATCTGTCGTTACATTCTTCCAATGGATTCTTTCAGAGCAACAACAACAACAGTAAAAGAGAACTTTTCAATAGAATATCACTTTTCTGTTCATCGAATATTTTTCCAATTTCATATCGATATAATCAAGTATTATCTGATTGCCTATTGATGATCATCAAAGTTTTACTAAAACTATGATTACGTGAATGAATGATTTTGATGATGATAATGTTTTTCACTCACGTTATGTGTGTGTGTGTGTGTTATTGTATTAAATTTTCTTTTTTCATCAATCTGAGGTTTGTGTTCTCTATTTCTCTCTCGTCACACACACACACACACACACAGGCAAGAATATTATCATCATTGTGTATGGACCATTTCATCTTATCATCATCATCATCATCATCGTTACAAAGTTTTCAATTCTATGATGATGATGATGATTCCTGACAATATAAGAAAGAGCAAAGTTTTCAAATCCATAGATTCCGTTTTCAATATCATCATTGATGATGATGTCTGTTGTTGTTGTTGTTGTTGTTGTTATTCTTGTTGTCAAGCGTCATTATTTATATATGTGTGTGTGTGTTTAATAAAATGAAAATCCCGTTATATTATGTGTGTGTGTGTGTGTATGTGACACTATTATCAACTACTATATTACAATCGTCGTTTGAAAATTGAAAAAAAAGCTAAATCGGAATCAAATGATTTGATGATTGTATGTATGGATGGATGGATGGAAGAAAAATCAAAAAAAAAATCAGAAAACCACGAATGAAAATTGGGCGTCATTGATTGTTGTTGTTGTTGTTGTTGTAGTGATAGTGTGGTGAAATTGATTTTTCTAAAAGTGAAAACAAACTAAACTTCGTTCCACTACTACTACTACTACCACCATCACCACCACCACCACCACCACCACCATCTCAAAAAATCGATTCCGGTTTTCACATTATAATTTTGATTTTTTCTTTTCTGTCATTATAATCATCATCATCATGGTCTAACATTGAATATCTTGAAATTGAAATTTTAGTTTTTTTTTCATTTTAAAATTCTTAATTTAATTTCATAATGGTTATTCTTTATTATTAACGGAATAGCGTTTCACTTATCACCATATTTAGACACAACAAAGCATTGTATAGATGATGATGATGATGATGATGGTCATTAATAATAAACTTTTTTTCGCTTTTTATATGCATTTTGATTATAAAAATGAATTTTTTTTTGTTTTGCTTTGTTTTTTTTTCTCTTTGAAATTAAAAATCTATTAAATCTAGCTATATTTTGCATGTCCAGTCCAGTCCAGTCCACACCCACACCTACAGTCAAACACCCACCACAACACACATATCACACTATATGACTTTGTCAATCGACGATTGATTTTCGTAAAATTGTCCACAAATTTTAAGTTAATCATTGAGTCCAATGTTTTATTTTTTGTTAATTCAATTTATCATCTATATTTACATTACGAATACAGATGCATTGGACTCGATGACTGGCTTTCAATTTGTGTTATTTTTTTGACAAATAATTCATCAATTAATCAACTAATAATGAAAACAACAACAAAGTCATGTGTGTGTGTATGTCACATGTTCCATCAATTACCACCCATGTAATGAAATAACCACTCCCTTGTCCTAGAATCTAATTTTGTCATGGCTTACAGAATCTTATTTTTTGTCTATATAAAAAAGAAAATTTTTCTTTCCAAAAACTTTAACCCTTTTCTTGTTTTTGATTGTTTCGACTTGATTGTGTGCGTGTTTGTGCGCGTGTGTATATGTGTCAATTAAATTGACACCTCGAGCATTTATTCACACACACACACACACACCCACACACGTATTCATTATAAGTTGAAACTTTTTTTTTTTATTCTTGATCTTATTATTACACAATATTCTGATGTGTGTGTGTGTGTGTTTCTCACTTGTTTCTTGACTAACTTTTTTTTTTTTTCTATTTTATTTGATTAATTCATCGCCCAAAAATAAAATTAAAAAAAAAATATTCATATCACAGTGTGATGCAGCTTATGGTATGAAAGCATTTTTTCGAATGCTTGATGAAGATCCAGTTAAAATATTGTTATTTGGTGGTGCATGTCCATCTGTAACCGATCCAATTGCCAAGACATCAAAATTTTTTCATCTAATCCAGGTGAGTCATTATTATTATTATTATTATGGAAATGATGATTATTCTGACAAATGAATTTATTGATTTTTTTTCTGCCTACCTTTTTTTTTCACTTTTCGCACAGTTGTCATATGCTGATACATTTACTGCCACAACTGCCAATTTTTTTCGTATCGTTCCTAGTGAAGGATCATTTAACCCTGGTAAGTTGAAAATTTGAAAAAAAATTGTAACAAAATCATTATTCTGACATTCTAAATCCTTAACATTTTTTTTCAATTTCTATATTTTTTTTTGTTTTTAAAACAAAAATTTTCATCATCATCATCATCATCATGTTTTGTGCTATGTGTGTGTGTGTTGTGTGTGTGTGGGTGTGTGTGTATGTTTGTATCAACAAAACAATCAACCAACCAACCGAACACGACATTTAACATTTAACAACTATCGACATAACGTTGTTGTTGACAGCACGTGTCAAGTTGTTGAAATTTTTCAATTGGACAAAAGTTGGAACCATTTATCAAAATTTGCCTCGTTATAGTCTGGTAAGTTTTATTTTCATTCTCTTTTTATATTTATAAATCCTCCCCCGCAGTGTGTCATTTCCATTTAATTTTTTTGTCGTTGTTGTTACTGTTGTTCCACCAAATTTTAGTTTATAATTGATCGTACCTTTTTAGATATCGGAAAATTCTTTTTAACAATTTTAATCGTGGTAGCATTCGGTTTTCCAAAAATCTACTGCAATAAGACACGGCAAACAATATTATCTGGTCGAGAGTTTTCACGGCTAAATATAATAAGCTTCAACAGCTTGCCAACAGTAGGATAATTTTCAATAATTTCAGTGGAAGTTTCCAAAATTGAACCAGGTACAATCGGTGATGATGTTGGTTTGCAGTCCGATAATCCGAATTGGTCTAGCTTTTGTTGAACATATTTTTGACTGATTCGAAATAAATTAATTTTTGACGACGATTTCTTTCATATTCAACACCTCAAGAAATTTCGATCATTGATGATATTAACTTTGAATTTTGTTTCAAGAAACTGAACATCACCAACCATTAAATCAACTTTGTTAGTTGAGGCTATGAATCCATCATCAACGTACAATATTATCAGAATTAATCGACCATCAATACGTCTGAAATATAGACAATTATCCAATGTTGAATTTTTCAAAGCCGAATTCGATGACTGCATTATGGAAACATTCATTCCATGCCCGTGGGGGCTTGCTTCCAGAGCCATAAAGACCACGATTCAGCTTCCATGCTTTACGGATCCATCGATCCATCATTAACCATCTGGTTGATACATATATATGGATTCTTTTAAATAACCATTTAAAAATGCAGTTGTGAAATCGAATTGTAGCATTTCCATATCAAACGTAGCAACAATACTGAAAAACCAACGTACCAAATCAAAAGCTATGACCGGCGAATAAGTATCAAAATAATCAACGTTAAATTTCTGTTCAAATCCACGAGCAACAAGGCGCGCTTTATAACGTCCATCACTTTTAATACGATAGATCCATTTTGACGATATAATAGTATTGACATTTGAAGGATCGACCAAAGTAAACGTTTTGTTTTCAACCAATGAATTCATTTCATTGTTCATAGCTTGTAGCCATTTATTAGATTCAACAGAATTCACAGCATCATCATATGTCAACGGTTCAGTACCAGCTGAATTCCAATACAACATTACGTGGTCATGCAACGAACCCAAACGTTCGGGATTAGCTTCTCTTACGTTTTATTTCTTGGAGCCCAAAGGTCTCTCCCTGTTTTGATACATCAACAACACCATTAGAATCACCATCATCGCCATCATCATCATCATCGTTGCCATCATCATCATCATTATCACCATTTACTTTGGTAAAGCCACTGCAATAGTAGATTGCTGAAAACATATCATCATCAGGAATTGAATAGGCAACAGATCTACATTTGGAATTTCTTCAAATTGACACGCAGACACCAGATGAACTTCTCGTTTGTTGGTAGGTAGCATCGATAGATATGATCACCTTGATATCCGACCATATATACATCAATAGTTTTCGATTCAAATTTTCGGAACTTCATCATTTAATGTCTTTCCACGACTACCAAATACAATAAAATTGCTCACATTTGCTTTCTTGTTGAACCAATCATTATATGGAACTTCATTTTTGTAATTCATCAAAAGCGATTCAATACATAAACAGAGCAATTTGCAGCCTCGTCCCATAAATTTCGGCAATCCGCTGAAACTAAAATTGATGTCGCATGATCATTTAAGACATTTCGTACGTGGCGTTCAGCTTTTGTGCCATTTTGTTGAGAAACACCGACACAAGCAGATTGATGGGTTATTACCATGAGGAATCAACATATCCACGAAATTTATTGGATGTAAGAGATTCAGAACCACGATCACTGCGAATTTTCAATACATTATTTCCTGTTCAAGTTTGATTTGATTGACAATTTTAATGAATTTATGAAGACATCATCACGATTTTTCAAGAACTCTACTACTTTAATATATGATTTTGCTCGTCGACACAAATCAGATAATGTTATTGCCATGTAATGATTGATCAGTGTAACCAGCAATATCAATATGAATACTTGACCAGGTTTGATAATCGGCCATTTTCCGACGAACGATGCGCGCGACACAACCAAGTTTTCTACCATCATACGCATTACTGGTAAACCTTCCATATTGAATCAGAACTAATAATTGATAAGCCATCAACGATTCCTTGACTTGGCCATTTTGATAATCGTATTTTTGTTCACATGACAAAACCGTTCAAAGCAATAATGCTAGATCAATGTCGATGATGATGTGCTTAGCGATACATTCATAAATGACGGACTTTTGAATCAACAACACGGAATTGCTATAAGCAGATGATTACAAATTATTTATTTCTTCAGATCGATAACCAGTCAATAGACATTTACCATTTTTCATAATTTTCATTTTTCCACTGATGATGATTGCCGATAAATCTTCTGAATACGTTCCAATTGACCAATTGATATAAAGATTATAATTTTGATTTGCCAACGCTACATTACGTGCACCAAACATCATGCCATTCAGTACCCGTATGAAATTGACAATTCAAATCCTATCAACTATCGACAAGGAAGCAAATGTGTTTTCGATTGCAGTACTTCCATCCAATTCATACACACATCGTTATCCATTTTGTCATTTTTTAAAATCACACCCATTTATCCATCCAGTTCCGCAAGGCAATACGATCAGGAATCAAAGTTTCTCGAACAAGGCCAAACAATAGGTTCGTTCACTGCTATCATTGATCAATTTATCAATATCGATTTTAAGCATATGGGCAATATAACGTTCACAGCATTACAACCTTGGCCAGGGTCAGCTGGATTATGTTTACCACTTATATGCCGAAAACTTCTGCACGAATTTCAAACTGTTTTATTCAACCGATCAATGTTTAAATCGGTAAAATTTCAATTTTTCCATTATATTTCCGGGCCACACACAGCGACGTACCTTCATATAATGCCAATAATTCCAAATCGATTTTCCTCCAAAATTAAATTTTTTTCCTCCAAATAAATGGCGCATCCAACACCAATACTTGCGTCCACGAAGACGACAATTGATTTGATCTTCAACATAACGGACAATTTGAAAGGAATGCGTTTAATCCAAATGTGAACGATTTGATGCAATATCTCCATTTAGATCATCATCCCAACTTCATCCTGATCAAATTCTTTTCAATTTTACAGGTTCCATCAAAGGATCAAATAATTGACCAATTCGTAATAATTTCGTTTAGGGAATCTTCCAGATTATCAAATAACATACAATTCCATACCATCAAAGCATTTACATGGACCATCCCGGAATCATCACGAATTGACTTCGATACCATTTTATCAAAACCAGACGATTCAAACGATGCCAATTAGAACGTTATCAACAAAGATTCCACATCGGGACACGGCGAGCAAATCGTCCAACATAGAATTTCCAAAACATGTGAATTTGCACGACATAACGTTGTGTGGGACATGGCCTTCTTTAACATTTGCATCTCTCAATTTTCATTGATCATTGCGTCGTCTATATTATTTCGTTGTTATTGGAGTTGTGATTTTTGACCCATTCATAGTTCAGAAACGCTTGAAAAACGACCATCATTTTGTAGAATCGGTCGTCTAATTAATCACATATTCCAATGTAATTAAATTCAATGATTCACCTTTGCAAAGAAAAAAGAAGAATTCGAGCCATACGGCGCGTTCATTCCACCCCAAACTCCATCATTCGTTCGGCTGCACCTTCATCCAGGGGCCATAAAAGATTGTTGACGTGTTTCATTAATAATTTCCCAGCATTTGTTGTGGGAACAATGTTTCCAGTGAATTTGATTCACGAACAACCAAAAATTGGTTTTGTTATCAAGCCACACTTAACATCTTACACATTGACTCGCAATATCGTACTATCATGATGACGACATATTCATGGTGCATCGATTGGATACATTTGCTTTTCGAACTTCGATTCACCATGACCGCGCCAATGACATACCACATGCTCGATGCAAAAGTTTTCGATGGGCAATTTTAGCATCTCGTTGGCATAATGCAGTGTTACTGGACGACAAATAGGTTGATTTTCTGAAACAGTCGTCTGCACCAGAATCAACAACTATCGACATAACGTTGTTGTTGACAGCACGTGTCAAGTTGTTGAAATTTTTCAATTGGACAAAAGTTGGAACCATTTATCAAAATTTGCCTCGTTATAGTCTGGTAAGTTTCATTTTCATTCTCTTTTTATATTTATAAATCCTCCCCCGCAGTGTGTCATTTCCATTTAATTTTTTTTTGTCGTTGTTGTTACTGTTGTTGAAAACATCATCAAATGTCACCATTTTATAAGTGTGTGTTGACAGGTCAAATTACAATACAACACATCTCATTATGATTACTACCCATCTACCATCACCTAATGTTTGTTCTTTATATAAAAGAAAATAAGGCGGGAAGAATATTTTCGAAAATGAAACCAACTTTTTTTTTCCAACCATCATCATCATCTTGATCATTATTATTATCGGGAAAATTTCTGACAATGAACAAAAAAAAAAATTTCTTCCTCCTAATAACCGATATCAATTTCAAACGGAAGTTTTTTTTGGAATAATTTCCCAGTAGTAGTAGTAGTAGTAGTTATTATCAACTGACGAATGATTGACCATTTTATATATATTCAATTTAATTTGAACAACAACATGCATTTCCTTCGAGGCAATATTCACGATTCCATAATGATTTTTTTTGGCGAATATTTTTATGATCAAATTTAATGTTTCAAATCCAAATTTTAATGTTTTGATTTCAGAATGATATGAAATCTACACACTAATATGGTTGATGGAACAGATGTTTTGAATGTGAATATATGTTTTTCTCTCTCTCTCTATTGAAAAAAAACTGAAATAAAAATTTATCAATTTTTTCACTTTTTTTTCTTATCATTACAGAATATTCTGCAGAAATTCTAATTGTAACAAATCAGCCAATCGATTATTGCTTCCTGTATAATGATAGAATATTCTCTGTTTTTTTCTGTATTCGTTGTTATTGTTGTTCACCCAAATTGTTCATCAGTCGATGATGATAATGACGCAGATGTTTTTGAATATAAAAAAAAAAATAGAATGTATCCATATTTTGTATTTGAATATTTTTGTTTTCATTCATTCATTCATTTTTTTTTCTCTGCCATTTCCATTCATCATCATCCATAATAATCAGAAACCTTATTATTGTTTGTATTGAAATTTGCATTTTATGAATATAAATATGAGAATTTCATGAGAACAATATGTGATTGTAATTTTGTTGTTGAATGAAAAAATTTGTTATTTTGTATCAATATATATCGGAATAATGAGACTAAACAAAAAAAACTCGAAAATGACGAAAGAATTAAAGAATCTGATGATGATAATTTCTCATTTCATTTTTTCTCGATCATCATATGGCAATTTTCTTACTTTGTTCATGTGTGCATGTGTGTGTGTGTTCGTGTCACATTGCAATTTATATTTCTACAATTGTGATCGATTATTGACCATAAATGTGTATGTATGTATGATAACTTGGAATACAAAAAAACTTTTGTGTCTATATGTATGTGTATTTACACAAGTAATTATCTTGTGTTTTCATTTCCAATGTTTGATGATGATAATGATGATGGTGTACATTAATAATTCTTTTTCTTTTTTTTTGAAAAAAAATTCAAGTTTGTTTTTCTCTCTTTTCTCAAAAAACAAGCTTTAATATACTTTCAAAAAAAAGATGATAATCGATTTATCGATAAATTCGTTCATCATGAACGACATCTATTTCTCATCATCATCATTTTTATCATGTTTTTTTTCTGGCTGTTTGCTCAGGCTTAACAAAGAAATTTTTTTCTTTTTTCAAACATTTATTAGTGTTCAAGTAGTATTTCAACACAATACATTTCAACAATCATCAATTGTGTGTGTGTGTATTTGAGAGTGTATTTGGAAACAGAATTTTCTTTTGGATTCTTTTGGTTTCATTTCGCTGAACAAAGAAAAATACTGGTCACATATAGAAATCCCAGAATCAAAAAAAAATCTACTTTTCAACTAACCAGACTAAAGTAGCTTTTCTTTCTGTTTTCGTTTTCTTTTTTTTTAAGATGTCTGATGATGATGTATAGGATTCAGGATGTGTGTGTGTGTGTGAAAACAGTTTTGCTGACCAGAATAATCGACACACACACACACACACATACATAAGAAGAAGAATAAAAATAATAACCGGATTCTATTCGAATTCTCTATCAATTTATTATTGTTATCCAAAAAAAAATAATACACACACACACACCATACACATACGAAAAAAAAACACTCTGCACATCCGTATCCTGGCTTTTTGGCTTATTTAAACCCAAATGACGAGTTGAAATTTTCTTTCTTTTTTTTTGTTTTTTTTTTCATTCTTATTATTTATAATCACACTTACCAACAACAACAACAACAACACCACCGACACACATGGGGTGTCTTTCAGATAATGTTTTTTTCAGTTTTATTTTTTTTATTAATGTTCCATATAGTAGTTTTGTATTACGTAAAGGTTCCATTTTTTTTATCAAGCTATCTAAACGATATAGCCATAACATTTCTCCATAGGGCGTCTCGAATCATTTGATTTTGATATTTATTTATTTATTTATTTATATTTCATTCATTCAATATACCATCATCATTAATAATGGAATATCTGTGTGTAATTTGTGTGTGTGTGTGTGCGTATACAGTTAGAATGTGAAAGAATCACAAAGTCCATTTGATTTTGGATTTGTGTGTGTGTGTGTGTGTGTGTCTGGGTACCGGGAACATTTTGTTTTTTCTCACTCACTGTTCAAATGTTGTTGCATCAAAAATCAAAACATAAGAGTGAAAGAGAGAGAGAGAGAGAGAATTGAGAAAAAACTTATGGTCGAACGAAAAAAAAAAATTCTGGAAAACAAGAATTTCCACACACACAAACACACACAGTTTGAGAATGAAACTTTTATTTTTCTTTGGTCCAATTTTTTTTTTTGCAAAAAGAAAGTTTTCCCTTTCACAGAGATCAATTCTATTGATAAACGAGAATGAAACAAAACGACGACGACAACAACAACAACAACAAAAACAAAAATTTATCAGTTTTTTCAGATGAAATATCCGAAACTAAAAAAGTCGGAAAAAAGATTTTCTTGTCTTCTCTTGTGGTAGGCAACAACAACAACAACAACAACCAGAAATGGCTGTCATAATAAAAGATTCAGTGAGCGAGAAATAGATGAAAAAAAATCAAATGGATTGAATAAATGCAGGACGAAATAAGAAGTAAAACAAAAAAAAAAAACATTGACCGATATTGTTGTTGTGCCCCTAGTAAATGCTGATGATGATGATGAAAAACAAAATAAATGAATCCTGCTTTTCATCATCATCATCATTTTTTTCATGTTATCATTGATCCACACATCGACTTTATGGGTAAATTTCAATGATGATGATGATGATGATTGTGATGATGGAAAAGTATCGAAATAAGAGAAAGAGAAAGAGAATGAGAGCAAAAAAAAAACACTAAAAATAATTCCCAGATGAATCTTGATGACCATAAATTATCTACCACATATTTATAAATGAAACATTGAATGTGTGTGTGTGTGTGTTTATGTGCAAGAATCCAAATACTTTCTTGCTTTTCTAATGGATACAATCTATGTCATTCTGAATCTGAACATTAGTATATTTCAATTCTTGATTGTTTAGTGTTTTTTTTTCACTCTTTTCAATACTTTTTTTTCTGTTGATTATTAATTATTATTATTATTATTATTGTTGTTGATACCTTGATTGATGTTTTAATTAATTAATGAATATAAATATGACATTCATCGGTATGATTTCTACTTGTTTCATTCAATTCATTCATTCATTCATTCATTTGTCGTTTGATAATAATGATGATCATCATCTTCATCATCATCATCATCATCGAATGAATGTGATCAGAAAGATCAAAAATGTACATTATTTCATATTACGAAAATTGCATTCTTTTCTCCAATGGGAAGCCAAAAAAAAAAAAAAAATTCTCTGGAGTACAATCTTACAATTGACGATGATCATCATGATGATGATGATGATGATGATCATTACAATAATAAAGACGATTCACAATGGTACAATCAATTGAAGTTGCAAAAAAAAAAAAAATTCTCTTCATACATATGAAAGTGAATGTACCAAACAAAACAATGATGATGATGATGATCCAAACAATTCTGAAATGAAATAAATATCGTTTATCGTAGAATAATAATGATAATAATCATAGAACTTGAAATGTTTTTCATCGTTTTTGTTGTTGTTGTTGTTGTTGTTGTTGTTGTTGTTATTCATGACCTTTTGTTTTGTTTTTTCTTTCAAACAGAAAAAAAGGTACAATCATTTTTCGGTCCATTTGTTTTTTTTTCTTATTTATTTATTATACTCTTTTATCGTTTTTGTTTTTCCTATTGCCATTTCTATCCAATTTCAATTGCTTCAAATGTCTGTGTGTATATGTATATTCGATATATATTTATATATAAATTTCAATCAACCAATCGAGAGTATCTTGGGAATTCACTTTTTTTTCTCGTTTAGAACGTAATTTTTTACTTTATGGTCAATATCAATGGACAAAAATTATGATGATGAGGTTTTTATTCATGAAATTCTGTTGATCTGAAAAAAGAAAAATTCAAAAATTTTGAATTCATATTCATATGTATACGTGTGTGTGTGTGTGTGTGTGTGTGTGTGTAAAAAGTGGTGGAAATTATATTATGGAATCAAGAAATGAAAAATGTTCAATAATGATAATGACGTCAAAAAATGAATGAATGAATGCGATTCCTAATTCTGTATGTGTGTGTGTGTGTGTGTGTGTGCGCACAAAAGTCGTAATGAAGATTTTTTCCCATGTTCAAAAGACTTATGGTCATTGTCATTGTGAGACAAACGAAACGAAACGAAAAAAATGTAATGGAAACATATATTCTGCATTGGACATTTGTGTGTGTGTCCATTACAAATTTTTTTTCTGGTCGATTCATTTCCCAAAAAAATATTATAACCAATTTTTTCTTTTCTATTTTGTTCTAGATAGGTTTATGTACTTCATTTTGTTTTGTTTTTGTTTTGTTTTCTATTAATTTGTTATGGATTTCGATTCTTCGGTTTTTTTTGTTTTCACTCATTAATCATCAAGAGGGGGTGAGAGAAAAAAAAGCTACCATACTGTACTGTCAAGAATTTCGATTCTGAATCAAGTCATAGCCTAGCTAGTTTGTTTGGTCATCATAATTTTATTTTCTATTAATCTGTGTGTGTGTGTGTGTGTGTTCCATTTATATTTTTCTTTTCCCTTTTTTTATGGTTCCAATGTGTGTGTGTGTGTGTGTCCATTTTTTCCGAATGATCCAAAGAGTTTTTTTTTATTTTGGTTCATTCATTTCTTCCATTTCATCATCATCATCATCATCCCTTATACTCGAATCAATGAACCGAGTTTTTCTTATTTCGTTCATTTGTTTCTTGACAAAAACAAAAAAAAAAAAAAATCAGATTGAAAAATTGCTCCAACAACGGCAACTTTCATCGACACATATAACATGAAAAAATGTTTGACTGTTGTGTGTTTTGACTTTACATTTTTTTTTCGTTTTGAGGGAAGATTTTTGTCAGCGGGTTTTTTTTTGTCAAAAACTTATAGCTATTTTTAGCTAAAAGTTTATATCAAATCTATTATATTAGTTTTGTTGTTGTTGTTGTTTTTTCGACTGATGATGATGATGATGAAAGTTTCAACTTTTAGATTTTTTCATTACTATATAAGATTCTTTTACCGGAAAAAAGTTTTGGTTGTTTTTTCTGTTTTTTTTTTTGTTATATTGAAAAAACAACAACAACAACAACAAACAACAAACAACAACAATATGGAGCCATAGGCCTTGTTCATTTATAGATTATGAATGAATAATTGATTGTCAGTTTTCCACCATGCCTTATGGTCAAATCAGATCGGATCGGATCGGTTGAATGTACGAATGGATTTAATAACATTCCATTAATCATATTAAAAATATCCAAACATCATTTAAACAATGAGTGGTATAGAGAGAGAGAGAAAAAAAAATACCAAATAATGGAACAAAAACGTCAAAAGAATCTGTACTAATTCAATGATGATCGTTTGCACGTAAAAATCACCAGAATTTTGAGGATTTCTGAGGAATGAATTTCGAAAAATTTTTTCAAACAAAGTAAAATTTTCAAATACTGTAACTATCGATATTGAGTATCGATAGTGTAATAACATAATATCGATATATTGATCAAACATTCGATTCGATCAATTTGATGACAGCTATTTTAATTTTTTTTTTGTTACCAAAGAAATTCAGAAATTGAAAAAAAAACAGATCAGCAAAATTTTTTCCCTATTCGTCATGATCAAAGCGCAAATCATAAACATTTCACAATTCAGTAATCGATCGATGGTTTCTTGGCATTTTATTTTGATTGAAAATTTTCTATTCAGAAGTGTCCATAACCATCATCGGAGAAAAAAAAATCGACATTTGCAAAACAAAACAAAACAAAACAAAAAAAAAACAAACGCTAAACACGTTTTGTTCATAACAATAAAATTATTCTCGCTTACCATAAAGATCTCTTCTCTTTTTTTTTGTTTTTTTTTTTTTTTATTTCATATTTCATTTCGCTGAGCGAGCTTGATTTTTTCTTGATTTTTGTTGGCATCAATTTTGAAAATTAAAAAACAAAACACATGATGATGATCACCATCACGATTATTGTATTGAAGTATTTGGTGAGTAGTAGTAGCGGTAGACATGAAAAAATAGAAACATTGAAATTTTGGTTTTTTTTCATATTTATAAAAGAAAACTAATGGAAAAATTAATCAAATTTTTTTGTTTGTTTGTTTGTTAAAAAATCTCACGAAATGCAGCAATTTTGATGAAGAATTTGAGATTTGATTTCTTTCAATGTAAAAAAGATTTGCCCCCCAAATCACGAATAATACAATTTTGAAAAAAAATCGACAAAAATGAAACAAAAAAAAAATTTCCGTCTCTGTTTTCCATTATCATCACCATGAATCCAGAAATCCAGATTGAATCCAGATGATGATGATCATCATCATCATCATCATCATCATCAACATCATAATCGATATGGTTTTGAAATATAATGAATCCAATTTTCTTGTCAAATTCTGTGTGTGTGTGTGTGAGTGCGTTTTGGAACGGATCCAATCCAATCTGGAAAAAAAAATTTTTGGAACAAAATCAACGAAAAAATAAAATAAAAATTCTGGTCCCTGACTAAAATAAACTTTACTATACTAATTGTGTAAATGATCTGTTTGTTTGATCCATCCATTCAACGATACAATGATGATGAACAAAATGATAAATTAGTTTTTTTTCATTTGTTTTAGTCGATGAAAAATTACCAATTACACAATCACCGCCTCTATGATGTTTGGATTTTTTTTCATTTTGGTTTGGTGTGTGTGTGTTTGATATTTTCCAAAAAAAAAAAAAAAATCAGAAATGGCCTTTAGATATTTGATCATGATGATCATGATGATGATTCTCTTTTTTTTTCTCACTAACACGAGAATTTCAATTTGAAATTTATAGTAACAAAAAAAAAAAAATCTAGACAACACAAACAAATTATCCGTATGGGTGTGTCTACATATACACATACACATCATTAACAATGCACCATACATATATAATGTAATTTCGCAAAATCGCATCATAGATTTTATCATCATCATCAAATTTCCAACTATTTTTTTTGCACTTGTATTCTATATATACACTATATACTGGTCAATTATAAAATATTTATGATTATTTGCATGTAAGTCACATTCTTTATAAATGAAATTTTTTTCTTTCATCTTATTTTTTTTTTTTTTGCTGTCCATTGTGCATTGAAAAACGTTTCATTCATTGCTATCAACTAACATTTTTTTTCCTACTATTATGATTTGCACTTGAAATGATTGTGATGATGAAAAAACATTACGGCTTTTTTTACCGGTCTTTATGTTTGTTTGTTTGGTCGGTTGGTTGGTTGGTCATTCTATCTATTTGCAAACAAAATGCATTTTTATGATTGAATTTTTTCTAGTGAAAGTGAGAAAAGTTATTAAATCATGTATCATTTCAAGAATGAAATATAAATAAAATATAATGATGATAATCTTATGAAATCTTAAATGCTAATGATGATGTTGATGATGATGATATGAAATTGCAAAGAATCTTATGATGATGACAAAATTATTGAGGCACGTATCGAATAATTTTTTTTGGTGGTGGTGGTGGTGGTGCTGGTGGTGAGTATTCCATTAACCAATAATGGATATTCATGTGGAAAACACACATTTGGAAATATTGAATGGAAATATGAATATTCTGAATTTATTTATTTTTTTCACATTTTACAATTTGATTGGATTATTATTTTTTTATATTCCATATCTCTACTGACTTAATGTTTTCGTTTCATTTTTTATTCTTTTTTTTTTTTGCTTTCTTTAGCCGCACAGTAAATTATTAACAGATTTAGATAATGCTGAAATTGAAATTGTTGCATCACAAAGTATTGCTGATGAATTGAAACCTGAAATGTATCTACAGGATCTTAAAGTAAGTTTTGGATTTTAGATTTCCATTGAAAATGAATATTCCAATTTCATTGAAATTTTTCTTATTATTTTTTTTCCACCCATTTTTTTTTACATTGAAATAAATAGGCCAAAGATGTACGAATTATTGTGGGTAATTTTGGTGAAGAATATGGACGAAAAATATTCTGTCAAGTAAGAAGATTATTTTTTATATTTATTATCATCATCATTTTTTTTTTTATTGTTACTTTCTGAGCAACAAACAATACACACACACACACACAGACAGAACAAAGAGAAAAAAATGCATTAACATTTTTCAAGAGTTTTCATTTCTTGTTCATTTTATCAGCTGATTACATGTGTGTTTTTTTTTTTTTTTTGGTTTCAGGTTGTCATCATTGTCATATACTTTATTTATTAGTTGCAAAATAATTTTTCTTTCCATGTTATTATTATTGTCATTTCCGGTTTTTTTGCTGTTGTTGTTGCTGTGTTGTCGTTTTACAAATACGAATAATGATTATGATGATGGCGACATTTTTTACCGGAAATTAGTTACCTCTCTCTCTCTCTCTCTTTCTCTTGTTACATTTTATACATTACTTTTTTTTATTGTCAATGATCAAATCAATTATAATAACAAATATATAATGATGATGATAATGATTATGATGATTACAAGATTGATTCTATATCTTGTTATATTTTTTTTTCGTTGAAAATGTACATGAGTACATTCGAAACTTTATTACTACTATTTCTACGTTGACGTGATTCGAATGTTAATATAGCACTATTCGATATTTTACAAAAACAAAATGAACAAAAAAAAATAATAATAATTCCAAGACAAGACAAGAATTGAATTTATAATGTAAATTTAAAAAATGCAAATGAATAACTACAGTAGTATTCAGCTTAACGCGTGTGGGGTTACGTTTAAAAAAATTTTGCCGCAAAACCCCGCTAAGCGGAGTATTACTGTAATAATCAAATAAAATGAATGATAATGGTGATGACCATTATGAAAAAGATCATTTACTCTTATCAAATGTCATCTTGTTGTTATTCCTACTAGTTGTTTGTTTGTTTGTTTGTTATCAGGAATCGCATTTGTTGTTGTTGTTTTTTCTCGCTTTTTTTCATTCATTTACAAACAATGCATTCGTTTTATTTTTCTTTTCTCTGCAAGCGACCTAAGTCATTGTTGCTGTTGTCATGATTGTTTCATGTTCATTATGATGATGATGATGATGATGATGGTGATGATGATGATAAATAAATAACCGAAAATGAGAGAGCAGAACAATGAAAACAGAACACCGAGAGACCAAAAAGTGAGATAGAGAGAGAAAGATAAAGTCAGACGACTAGCGAATGATTGGTGTTGTCGGAATTATGTCTGGAATATAGGAATAAAAATGGACCAAAAAAAACTGGCAGAATTTAGTCATTTTTTTGGGGAAAATGGTAGTAATTTTTTTTCTCTTGTTTTTCATCACCCACAATCTTCTTTTTTTTTGTGATCTTTGTTATTATTATTATTTTTCTGGTCAATTCCTGTTTATTTTCTGCTATGTATTTTGGTCGGTTATTATCATCATTTTACTATTATTATTATTATTATCATTATCATCCAAATGATTCCGGCAAACTAGATGTATGTGTTTCGATGTGTCTTGTGATTTAACCATTTGTACACAATTTTTTTTTGTTTTTCATCTTTCTTCTATTTTACTATTATTTTATTTCATTTTCATAAAAAGATTTCAGTTAGATTGATTGTATAAGAAAGAAATTCTCCGTCAATTCTTCCAGTTATCTATGGACCATGTAATTCTAATGTCCATGTAACACAAACAAAACAAAAAATATATAATAGCCCAGAACCGACATGAAACAAAACAACAGAAGATTTTTTTTATCCATGAAATACACACACACACACACAGACATTATTCTTGTAATTTTCATTTCTTAGATGTGTTATATTGAAGAAGAAAAGAAAAAACAACAACAACAAAAAAAAAACTTAGTCCGATAAAATGAATAACATTTTATATCAAAAAAAAAAAAAAAAAATTTTCTACCATTCCATGGTTCATGGTTTATTTTCATTATTATTCTTGGAACACGAATATCAATATTTGTTTCATGATGATAATGATAATAGTGAAACATGGTTCTGGTTGAAATTATAACTACATATAGGCTAGATAGAAAGGTCATAATCATAATTTACGAATAGACACACAGCATACAATAGTGACCAAAAAAAAAATAAAAAAAAAGATAACCATGATGAACATACATGTTTGAAACAGGAACAAACATTTTACATTTGATATATATATACCTTCATCTATTTCCATTGATGGTCAATGTTTTTTTTCATTTTGTTGGCCACAATCATTGATTAATTGCTAATGTTTTTTTTTATTTCATTCATTCATTCAAATAGGCATATAAAGAAGGAATTTATGGCCGTAGATATCAATGGATAATTACCGGTATTTATGAAGAAAATTGGTGGGAATTAAATGATGATGAATCGGAATTATTGGGCTGTAATGAACAACAATTATTGGAAGCGATTAATGGCTATATTTCGACCGATGTATTACCATTGAGTAAAAATACTCAAACATATTATGGTTTTGTAAGTGTGTGTGTGTGTGTGTGTGTTCATAATTCATTTCATTTCAATTTTATGGTGTTGTTTTTTTTTATTTGAATAGGAAACTTCATTATATAAAAGTGAATATGATCGTCTACGTTTACGTGAATATAGCCGTTTTCATGGCTATGCATATGATGGTATTTGGACAATTGCATTAGCCATACAGGCTGTTGAAAAAAAATTACGACAAATAAATTCACCATTAACTTTTGAAGATTTTCATTATCGTGATCCATTTTGGGCACAATTATTTCGTGAAGCATTGAATGAAACTGATTTTATTGGTGTTACGGTATGTAATGAAATGAAATGTCCTACCATTGACCTAATGTAAATATTTTATATGTGGAAATAAGAAAAACAACCAATGAAACCAAAAAAAAAACGTAGAAATTAATCGATCAAATGTGAAAATGTGAATAGTAGCAATAATGATAATGATGATGATGATGATGAACGATACAAATCGATTAGAAACGAAATGAAAATACTTTTTATCTCTCTCTATCTCTCTCTTTTGTTTCGTTTTTTGGTGACGAAATTTTACAATTTTCTTTCCATCGTTTGGTAGAGAAAATTTGATTCAATTTGATTTTCTCACGTCATCATCATTATGAGAAATTCTATAGAGAAAATCCAATTACTATTAAACGGTTTATTTATAGGCAACAGCAACAGTAGCCCCAAGAGCTAAAAAAACTAGAAAATCATCATCATCATCATCATCAAAGTCAAAATATTAATGAGACCACTATCACACTACTTACTACTATCATTCATGATTTTTATTTATTCTTCTTTCAATTTTCTTTTGTATTCTTTTTTTACCCAATTCAAAATGTTTTCAACCAAACAATGTGGACAGGAAAAAAATGAATAAAATAAAGCTAGAGAGATTATAAATGGATTTTGAATATTTGGATAATTTCATTTTTCCAAAAATAACGATGACAACAATATTGATGATGATGATGATGATTCGTGCAATCAAAGCTCTCTTGCATTATCTCCATACACACACACACACACACACACATACATTGAGAAAGAAAAATTCTGTTTTGATTCTTGATGATTAGTGATTCTGTTTGTGTGTGTGTGTGTGTGTGTGATGCTGATGATATTGATTCAAATTTTTTTTTCTTTTTGTTCTCTATTCATTTTCGTTTGCCGCTTGTTCATCTCTCTTTCTCTCTAGAGGAATAAAGAATATGAATACAACAAAGATATTGTGCAATTTGTTTCAATTTCATCACACAAAAAAATGTGATCACAATAATAATAATGGTGATTAAATTGAATGAAAATAAATAACGCACACACACACACACACACAAATGAACTAGTTTTTATTGTAGTTGATCGATTCTTGATTTTTTCCTTTCTCTCTCTCTCTCTCATTACAATATTTTGTTAATGTTGCAAAAAAAAAAATTCTCGATTCAACCACCACCAATAATAATAATAATAATAATCAAAGAATTAATTAATCAATAATAATCCAATGAAATTCAGAGTTTTTCATTCATTCAATCAGGATTTTTTTCTGTTTGTTTATTCGTTCACAATTAATCGATATATCGATGTCGATAATGAATAAATGAATGATGACGATAATGGTAGAAATGAATGAATTTCTATTGAATAATCATCTGATTATTATTTGATTATGAAGAGAATCGAAAATTACATTTCATCATCATTTTCTCGTTTATTTTATGAATATTCTTTTGCGATTATGATTTGATTATGGTTTGTGTCCTGATCATGAAAATGAGTATCAGACCGAATTGAATCGATACAAAAAAAAAAAATTACATCCATTGAGAATTGAAATATGAATGAAAACAAAAATAAATGAATAAATCAAAGTAATTTTTCCAATATCCTTATTATGCATAGGAAAACAAAAAAAAAATGTTTGTCGATTTCATCATCATCATCATCATCATAAATAAGAATCTCTGGGAAAAAAAATGTTAATAATGAGGTCTAGACAAATAGCTACAACAACAACAACAACAACAAAGAAAGAAAGAAAAAAAAAGTTTTCATTTTTTCGTTTTTTCTCATTAATAACCGTATACTGAATCGGGACCCTGTGCTAGATGTTTTTTTTTTGTCGATGCTGCCGCCGCTGCTGCTGCTCAATGTGTTGTACTCGTTAGTCGTGTTTCTTGAATACAAAAAAAAACAACAACAAACTATTCATTCATCATCATCGATGATGATAATCAATCAATATTATTCGATCTAAATCAATATCTTTTTTTTGCTATTTTGTTGTTGTTTTTTTCTGTTCAATTCAAAATAATAATGATAATCATAACGAAATTAATCAATATTTTTCATTTCATTTCATTTCACTTTATTCATTCATCATTCAATATTTCTTCTATTCTGTTTTTTATTCCACCTTTACATCTTCAATTCAAATCGAATCAATTCATAGGACCATGTTAGTTTTGATAAAAATGAACGTCGTGGAATCGTTTTGCTTCAACAGTTTCAATGTAAGTTTTTTTTCTTACTTTCTCATTTTTTTTTGATACATAGTGTTTGTGTGCGTGTGCGTGCGGGTGCGATTGTGTGTCGGAACATCCTGATTTCATCGCACCCACAATAATTCATTCATCATTGAATCTGTAGCCCAAAAAATTCTATGAAAATAAATTTATGGTGAACCAATTTATTTTGTACAGACAAATCATCATCATCATCATATCAACATAAAGTGAATGAATGAAACGTGAAAAAAAAGAAACAGATTCTCATGAGTGAAAATGAAGAAAATTTGATTAGGTTAATTTTTTTTTTGTTGCATTCTGCTTCTTATATAATGTTTTTTTTATTTCTATTCATTCATTCATCCATTGGTCATCACGATGAAAATATAATATATATCTTACGGCAATGGAATTATTTATTCGGTCAATTCTTAAGGAATTTCCAAATAAAATAAAGCAGAAAAAAATGCAATGTAGTGAAGCCAACTTTTTTTTCTTCAGCCATATTTTCATGAATAATGATTGCAAATATAACCATTAATTACGGTAATAATAATAATAATAAGATTCTTGCACATTTTGCATTTCTTTTTTTTATTCATTCATTCATTCATTCATTGATTCATGGATGTGATCATCATCGTTATTATTATCATGGATGTCCATTTTTTATTTCAAAGTTCAAATCATTTATGTTGATAATAATCATGATCATCATCATGATATAATGGATAATGGGTAGTGTAATGATTTTTTTTTTGTTTTCTTTTGAAAAGTCAGCAAAAAAAAAAAAAATTTTTTAACTGCTATTTTATCATTATGGTTATTGTTGCCAGTAGAAAGAAATGGAAAATTTTTTTTTCTTCATCACTTTCCTAAACAACATTTCCCTTGCAATTCATTGATGAATCCATTACATTGATGATGATGATGATTATTATTAAATGATGATGATGATGACGACCATCATTATGATCATTATTTTCAACAAACAACAAACGCTTCTTGCCGCCCACTTTAAATGGAAATTCAGCAATCATCATCAGACAAAGAAAAAATGGACAATTTTATATGGATTTTTTATAATTTTCATCTTCATTAAATTGATGAATACAGTGTAAACTTTGTAGTAATTCATACATACACACACACACACACACGTTTTCTCATCAACTACAAGTGTATGTTTTGGGCCATCATCAATATATTAACATTAGAATGATTACAAGGAAAAAATATTTTTTCATTATAATTTACTTTATAAAAACTATTCTTTCCGGACACTATACATTTATTTGGTTTTTTTTTTCATTTTACTTTCCGAGAATTTTTCTTCTTCTTTTTTCTCGTTGTGCTTTGTTTGTTTGTTTCAACAGCAGTACTGATGAATGGAGAAAAAAAGAGTGGGTTAAAAAAAAATAGTCAAGAATACTTGATTTCATCCGTTTACACTATACCTACGTTTTTTTTACTGGTAAATCCATCGATCCATTGACATCATTTTATCATCCTTGAATTGGCTACCTTTAGGATTTTTTTTTTTTTTTTTTTTGGAAACTAGAGTTTGCAATTTGTTTTTTTTCCTACACTTCAAGCTAAAACGAAATTCTTCATTCACATTGATGTTTTGAAATCGTTTTGTACTTGTGAACAATTGTATTTGGGAAATTGAAAACAAAATTGTACGATGTGTTCGATTTTTTGTATTCATTGTTGTTGTTGTTGTTGTTTGTTGTTTGTCGATTGTGTAAGGTTTTTTTTCTGTTATTTTGATTCATTCATTGAATATTTATATGAATAAATAAAATGTTCAAGTGTCAAATGAAAATTCCAATTGCAATCGATTGTCTGCATGTTTGATTCATACTTACGTAATATAAGTATTGTTGTTGTTGTTGTTGTTGTTGTTGTCGTCGTTTACGTCATTTATTTATAGATAATCATCATCATTAACATTTAAAATGAATTTAGATTTACAGAACTTTTTTTTATTTATAGAATTGTTGGGAATTCGAGAATGAATTTACCGTTGAATTTCAAATTCACACTTGACATTTACGTTAATGATTACGTCATTTATTTATAGATAATCATCATCATTAACATTTAAAATGAATTTAGATTTACAGAACTTTTTTTTATTTATAGAATTGTTGGGAATTCGAGAATGAATTTACCGTTGAATTTCAAATTCACACTTGACATTTACATTGCAATTTGATCATCATCATTTAGTCTGGAATTTTTTTTTGTCTATTTTAATTGGAAAGATAAAAATTTGGAACATTTTTTTATTGTTGTTGTTGTTGTTGTTGTTGCTGTTTTTCAATTTTTACACATAAACTATTTGTGTCATTTTTTGTTTGATTGATTCATGGGAAATTTTTTTATTTTTTTCATTGGTGATAATCGAATATTTTCACGCTATTTCGACTCTGTTGTCTTGTTTGTGATGACTACATTTACTCAATCATCTGTTCCAATTCACAAGTCAGACAAAAATTATTAATATTTGTCATTGTCATCCGGATTATTTTCGGCCATCCATCGTTATATATGACACATACTATTTGTTATCATATATATGGTCAGTCTGAGAACAAACAAAAAAAAATGCTTAGGATTTCAAAGAATTCTGTTGGATCTTCTTCATCAATTTTGTTTTTCTTCTCTTTTTTACTTTCTACTCTAAGCTATTGTTGTTGTTGATGATTTATTATATATGACACACGTTCATTATTTCTGTTGACATCATCGTAAGAGAGACAGAGAGTAAAACTTAAAAAACCAGAAAAATAAAACTAATCCAATTTTTTTTCTTATTTTTTTTCCTTCATTATTTATTTGGTGTTCATCATCATCGCCATCGACGACTACGACGATGACGATGATGACAATATTAACTTGGATCTATGATGGTATTGCTGCTGCTGCTTCTGTTGTTTCGAATGAATTACACATGGGAAAAAAATATAACCATGATGATCATGTGGAAAAAAAATAAACAATAATCAATAATCAATGATCAATGATAATAATAGCTAAAAAACTAACGATGACCGATATAGCACAATATTATACATATAATGATGAGCTAATATTTGAAGATTCGAATCAAATTGATTGGCGTGGTAAGTGAAAAAAAATGAATAAATACCAATTAGAATAATCAATAAAGATATTGATCATCAATATTAATTGTTATATATATTAATTAATTCTTTTTTTTTTTTTCTGTATCACCAATAGGTGGTAATGGTCCACCAGTCGATCGTAATACGGTCGTTATAAAGCCTTCAAGAATTTCAATGACATTATTTATTGTGATCTCTGTGTTCGCCATTATTGGCATCATTATTGCCTTTGTCTTCCTTGCTATGAATATCAAATATCGTAATCAAAGGTATGTTTGTGTATGTGTGTGTGTATGCTTTGTTTTTGTTACCATGTAAATCATGATTTGTTTGTTTGGTTAGTAATATTTCATTTCATTTCATTCATTTGTTTTGTTTTCTTTGTGGTTTGATTTTGGTAAAATGGTGTTGTTGTTAATGTGTTTCGTGTGTGTGTGTGTGTGTGTGTGTGTTGGTTCATAAATACCCGGCCATTAACAATAACATTCATTTTCATCATTCATTTATATCAACAACAAAGAATGTGGATCAAGAAAAAATAAAACCCATAAAACACACATACACACACACACATACCTTTTATACATATTATTTTCATACACATGAACAATTCTGGACATTATTTTTTTTTTTTATTTCGTATCCCGAACACAAAACAAAAAAAACATTCAGTCCAGTATTCAACCAATAGTCTACTGAGATTCAAGAGAAAAAAAATTCCGGTTTTCAGAATCCACAAAAAACAACATTAACATTTGGACATTTGGCCAACCAAAACAAAAAACATGATGATGAAATGAAATAGAAAATACCATTTGGTAAATGAAACAACAAAAATTATATTGTTGAATTGAATGATAGATTAATACATAATCTGTGAATTGTCTGTGAAACACCTGATTTTTGTTTTTGTTTTTTTTTCTTTCTGTTCTAAACATTGTATATCATTATAATGACATGACACACGTTTATTCTGACTTTTTCCATGTGTGTGTGTGTGTGTGTTTGTCTGAATCTGAATCTGAAATTTTGGCTTCAAAAAACACAAACAAATGTATCACGTAGAATACAGAAATGGCAAAAATAAATGAATGAATGTTATGTTATGTTATTTTATTTATTATTTATCATCATCAACATTTCCACTACCATTAATCGATGATAAATTCATTCTATAGAAAAAAAACGAGATTCTGATTTCACATCATTCATTCATTCATTCATTCATATATAAAAAGCAAGTAAACCATAAACATTTCCAAAACGAAATACAGACAAACATAATGAACCATTTCACCGGTTTTTTTTGCTAATATTTTCAATTGTATTTTTTTCCAGTTCGTCAAATTAATGTCAGTTATTATTATTGTACTTATTTCGAAATGGGAACGGAAAAACATACATACATACGCACATGATGATTTTCACACAATTATTATTATTATGATCACCAAGACGACCGTTGAAACAACACATTAATCATCATCATCATCATCATGTGTGTTTGTTGATTAAAGCTTGAAGTAAAAATATATGAAAAAAAACCAAATGAAAATGGAAAAATTGACCGGAATTTTCTTTCACCCTTTCCATTGTAATTGTATGAAATGACAATTTTCTAATTTTTTCTTCTTTTTCTTTCTCATTTTTTCGTTATACACATTTTTCTACAAATTGCTTGCCTAACAAATGAACAACAACAACAACAAAATGGATCGATAAAACAACAACAATGTGCAGATACATTAAAATGTCTAGTCCTTATCTAAACAATTTAATCATAATCGGTTGTATATTAACTTATACCAGTGTGATTCTACTTGGTCTAAATAGTGGCCTAACAAGTGAAAATAATTTTCCATATATTTGTGCGGTATGTATATGAATGAAAAAAAAAAACATAAACATTTTCTAAACTTGCGATTGAATTCTATTCTCTATTTTCAAATTCTTTACAGATTCTCAATTAGAATTAGAATTTTGTTTTTATGTTTTATAAATTTGTTCAAAGAAAAAAAAAATTCTTTTATTTTCATCGTTATTGTTGTTGTTCACCATAATTTCTGTTCTGTTTTGTTTTGTTTTGTTCTTGACCACCAAACGTTTTTTTTGTTCATTTTATTTTCAATTATAATTCACATTTATCCACCCATAAAAAAAAAAAACGTACATTAAGCTTTTGTTTTCTTCTATTTTCAAGACCTCGAAAATAATCTTTTTTTGTGAAAGAGTAAAAGAGAGAGTGAGAAGAAAAAACCCATCCATTTTTTTCATTTCTTTCTGCACAATTGCGCTTGAATTTTTCTCTTTTTTTTCATTGAAATAAATAACAACAACAATTTTAGAAAGTGATTTTTTTTTATTTCCCCATTTTTTTAAATGAACCAAAAGAAAAAGGAAAATAAATCTACCACCATTATTTTTTTTTTTTTTACACACACACACACACTGTTTTTCGATGTAAAATTTTTTTAATCTTTTTTTTTTTTTTCTTGTGAATACAGAGCCGAGCTTGGGTATTGATGACCGGTTTCACATTAGCCTTTGGAAGGTAAGTGTTTTATGAAACAATCAATTATTTGAATAATGGAAAATGGAAATATAAATTTCAATTTTCAACCCAGTCAAAAAAAAAAATAATAATGATGATGATGATGATAAAATGTCAAAGTGAAAGTTACTCACATACACAAATGCATCGCCTATTTTTTTTTAAAGAATGTCTAAATGTGTGTGTGTGTTATGTGTTCACGAATTTCGATTCACGATTCATTCGAAAATTGTTTGTTTATTTATTTTCTCTTCATTAACGTAATATTTTGAGGTTTTCCTGTTTTTTTTTTTTTTTGTTGGCTTTATTTTACAATCGTAATCGTAACAAGCCATAAACAAACAAAAAGATGAAACGGAAAAAAAATTCCATAAGCCACATGTTAATTTCAACACAGATACACATACTGAGAGAGAGAGAGAAATGTTCAATGAATATTCAGATCATTCATTCATTTACTTTTTTGTTGTTGTTGTTGTTTGCATGTAGAATATTCTGTACACATGCAGAGAGAGAGAGAGAAATGCTGCTGATAATAATGAATTTAAATTGCAAGAGAAAAAAGAATATCGTATTGCCATTACTAATGTTGTTCAAGTCTAGCTTTTTTTTCTCAATTTTATTCCATTTCATTCATTCATTCATATATCAAGCTTACACACACACACACACACTACAAAAAGAATCCATAATAATGTTGTGTGTGTGGATGAATCTAGCGACGAAAAATTTCAATTTTTCAAAACCGCAAAAAAATTCCACATTTTTTCTCTCTCTTGTTGTTGTTGTTGTTATTTTCTTCAAATGATGATAACAAGATTATTTTAGATTAAATTTCTTGGAATTTTTCATCTAATATTCACACACACACACTAAATACATTGAATCATTTTTTTTTCAAAGCCACCGAAAAAAATGTTCCAAAAAAAAAAAAATTTCTGAAATAAATTTTCATTCGACAAAAAATGATGATGATGATGATGACACCCTATGGATTCAAAGTGTGGTATTTTTTTTCGCTATTCTTCATTTCGGTTATCCGAAATCTACACAAACAAACGGAGAAAATGTTGGCCAAAAAAAGAAAAAAATGTTTTTTTTTCATTTTTATCACACATGAAATATTCTATAGAATCATATCAGTGATCCATGAAAATGCAAAAAAAAAATGTTGGAATGTTTCGAGTCAGATTGTGTCTGTCTGTGTGTGTGTGTGTGTGTGTGACTGTTTTTTGTATGTTTTCACAAATAAAATAATAACAATAACCTATATTTTGATAGGCATTCAGAATCCGAACAACAACAACAACAACAAAAAATTAACAGAATTCTGATTGCCAGCGAAATTCTTTCATTTTGATGATCATCAAATTTCAAGTTGTGAGAAGAAGAAGAAGAAGAAGAAAAAAAATGAAACAACATCAACAAAAATTTCGCCTACAAAATTCCACATTCTTGTGTGTGTGTGTGTTATTATTAATGGATGATTATTATCATGATCTTTGTTGTTGTTGTTGTTGTCGTTGTCGTTGTCGTTGACGTTTTTCGATGACAATATGAAAAGAATGATTATCATCATCTTGGCCTACATTGTATGTATGTGTATGCGTTATTCGTGTGGGTGGATAAGCGGCCCATTATTTTTTTTTGTAATTCAATGGTAATAATGATGGAATAATTATGATGATAAAGTCTGTCTTTAGTTTTGTTACAAAAATTTAAATTTGATTTGAAAAAAAAATTCTGATTCCATTTCTTGTATGTATAGAGTATAAACTCTTTCATGTTCAAATGTTTCTATTTGACAGTAACAAACAAACAGTGAATTCAAGCAATAAACAGGTAATATCAAACGAAGCAATGCAATGTAAACATCATGTGTGTGTGTGTGTGTTGAATTGGAAATTTGTAGAAAAAATAAAAAATTTTAATTGATTGCTTGTAATTTATGTGTAATACCAGCTATGTGGTAATGAATTGAAAATATTGAAAAAAAAATCAAATGAAATGAAACTTTAGATCAACAATAATGATATTCTTTTCATGTTTTTTTTTGAATTTCAAATTTCATTTCAATTGGTTCATTTTTGTGTGTGTGTGTGTGTCACTTGTTTTTTCTCTCTCTCTCTTTTTTCATTGAAATCGATTTTTTTTTTGTTTCATCAGAGCAAAAAACAAATTTAGAATTCTCATTTTAGGATTTTTATTCTTTTCCATTATTCATGGTTTCTTTTTGTTTGTTTTTTTTTCATCATTCGTCATGTCATCATTGGTTGCAAATTATTCTTGAAAAGTTTTTTTACAAATATGCAATAGGGGTGAAATGAAAACTTTATTTTTACTCGGTTTTTCAATCGTATGTGTGTGTGTGTGACTCTTTATAATCATTTGAAAACTTGGAATATTTAACATCTTTCTTTTTTTTTTTTTTTTTTTGATTTCTCTGGTTCACCATTTCATCATCAACCGATTGATATACCATATCAGTATGTTCAGTAAAACATGGCGTGTACATGCCATTTTCACCGATATAAAGCTCAATAAAAAGGTGAAGAATTTTAATTACAATCTAGATTAGATTTAAATGATGATGATGATTTTGTTTATTGATTATTGATTTTTTTTTATTTTCATATTGACAGTTAATCAAAGATTATAAATTGTTTATGGTTGTTGGTGTATTGGTATTTATCGATGTAGCTACATTGACAACATGGCAAATTGTCGATCCATTTTATCGTGTTACTAGCCAAGGAAAACCAGAGGTAAGTCAAATTTCAAATTATAAATTTGGAAAATTGAATTTTTTTTTCATAGTGTGTATGTAACAGTTACACTATGAAAAAATGGTATGTTTATGTCATATTTGGGTGTATGTGGGTGGGCATAGATGAATGTTTTCATCACCTTGAATATTCGTGATTTCATTCAATTATATATAAATGTTTGTTTTTGGCAAGCAAATTCCATGAAAAAAAACATAGTTGAATTTGCATTTTTTTTCCGTTTTTGTTTTGTACATAAAAAATAACTTTTTTTTGTTAAATGAAAAGGAAAAAAAATATAACAGAATTCAATTTTTCGTAGAATAAAAGTTTCTGTTTGTTGTTATTCTCTTACTGTTGTCGACTAGTGGTGGTTAGGTCAACCGAATAGCAAAAAAAACTTTTTATGATCCAAACCCAGACCAATCATAACACAATCAGCTGCAGCTGTTTTGATTAAAAAGAATTTCTTCTTTTTTTTCCTTCGTTTGGAAAAAAAAATTAAATCAAAACAACAACAACGACAACAGTAACAACGTAATTATTCCATAGAATTTTTTTTTTTTTTGATTCGTTGTTATTGTCCCGGGGGAATCAAAATAAAAAAAATGACCTACAAACATCCATGACCCACGTTTTCACAAATAAATGAAGAATTCATAATTCAAATGCAAAATTTTTATTCGATTAAAATGGCAACAGTCGGCGTTGAAAAATCAAACACACAATTGGAGTTGAAAAAAAAAACTCAAAATTCAATAAAAGTCTGAATTTGAATTTGTCTTTGGAGAAAAACACACATTTGATGTGATGATTCTTTTGAGACAAACTTTTTTTTCACTCTCCTTATTCATCAATCTCTTTCCACACTAAATTCATTCATTCATTCCTCTTAAATTCTTTTGATTCTTTGATTTTTTTTTGTTTGTATCGTATTCGATCGAACATTCGGGTTTGTATGTGGATTTCAATTAAAAGTTTTGAGCAAAAAAAAATGTGAATTTTTTTTAGAAATCAATAAATTTTAAATTTTGAAATTTGAAACTTGTTCTTTGAAGAAAAAAAATCTCTGACTTGACGAATTTTTTTTTTCTTGGTTTCATTGATTTGTTTTTTTTCTCTCATTTCGATGAAACAACAATGGCAATATTTCCATATATTCACAATAATGACCAACAAACAGAATGAAAAAGAAAAAAAAGGGAGGCTCATTCTCATTGTCAACAACAAAATGCAAAAGTGATGATGATGATGATGTAAAGATATCGACAACGAATACGAAATGAGTTTGTTTTGTCTCTGTTATTCAATCTTTTTTCAATTCTTGCTTTTTTTCTGATTCCTCACTTCTGAATTACAATGATGATGATGATGATGATGAACAAGTCATGGACGTTTTTTTTTCATTTCTAAACAAAAACATTTCAAGAGCCCATCATCAAAATCATCGTTTAAGGCGGTTCCAATGATGGAGTTTTTTTTTGTCATACGAGATAATTTTTTCTCTATTATCTTCCATCATCATTAGCATTGTCTTCGTTGTTGTTGTTGTTGTTGTCGGTCTTTGTCGTTTAATGATGTTCGTAATTTTAATCAAATTCCCATTTTTAGACATGAATTTTTTTTCTTCGTTACATTGTGTGTGTGTGAGTTTTGGAACGAAGTGGTTTCCACAGAATTTATCATTCCGGTCAAACAAAAGTCAAACAAACATATATCATCATCATCATCATCATCATGGCTCCGATGATGTTAATGATTCATTGTTGTTACTTTGACACAAAATTTTACAATGTATGGAACGAGAGAAAAAGAGACAGAATTGTAAAAAAAAATTATTTAAATTTTTAAAAAATTTTCAAATCATCTTTCTTACTACTGATTCTGATTCTGATTCTGAATTATTTATTAACATTCTTCTATTTGATGATTTGGAATTTTCAATTTTTTTTCTCTTTTCCTTTCTTTTGTTTTTGACATTCAAACATTTGACCATCTAACTTTCTAGCCAAAAAAAAAAAAAAAAAAAAATTATTGTTAAAACAGACGTCAATTGCAGTAGTAGTAGTCATAGTAGTAGTGTATTGAAAAATGTAAATTTTGGTAAAAATTCATGTTACAAACCAGAAAAAAAAAAAAAAAAAAAGTGGAATATTTGATTTTTTTCCCGGACCAAAAATAAATAGAGAATCTTTTTTCCATTTTCTTTTGTTTTTTGTTCCGGACCCATTTTCGATTTACGAACCTTAAAATTTTGTTTTTTTTTTATTTTTATTTCTGTTTTCAATTGTTAAAATTTCATACGCATATTTTTTTTCACACTATTTCTTACACTACCATCATCATCATCATCTGTTCAAATGCCATCATCATAATCATCACATTTGTGTTAGTGTAACAACTATGGCGATAAATCTTTCAAGGTTTCAGTAATTTTTTTTTTTTTGACTCTAAATCGTTATTTTCAAATTTTCTCCACTTCAATTTCTCTGTTCAAAATCGACAAATGAAACATTTATATAAATATGAATGAACAAAATGACAAAATGAAATGTTTATATAATAAATAAATAAAAAGTCGCTGTATCTGTGTATCAAGTGTGTATGAACATTGAAATATTACAATTATCATTATGGTGAATTTCCATCATCATTCATACAATAATATTGAAAGTTAAATGGACCATGATTCCAATTCCATTTTTGATTGTTTGTTCCTTTTTTTCCCCCCAGTTGTTATTTTTTTCACGTTTTTCATCATCAATGTTTTTTTGTTTGAAAATAAATTCCAAAATGATTATTCTATGTTGATGATGATGATCTTTGTACCGGAAATGAAATGAAATGAAAATCTAGTCATGATTTGAAATTCATACGAATTGCGTAGGTGTTTGAAATTTTTTTTTCTCTATCGATCATTCATCATTATTATCAATATATATGAATAATTGGATCTGAAATGTGATGATGGCTATAATGAATCATCATCATCAGTATCATTATGATCAGATACATACATGAATTCTATCAATTACCAAAACATTAGTTAATGTCAACAATCGATACTATCGATTATTTTGATCAAATTTTGATCGAATTAAATTGATATAAAAGCAAAGAAAATATTTTATCAAGTTTCGTGTTCAAGTTTTTTTTATGATGGTCAAATGTGTTTTATATTATATGACCAAAAGTTTTATTTATTGTTCATCATCGCTGATTTGTTTGTCTGTTTGTTTTATCTATGAATGTTTTTTTTGTTCGTTTGTTTGTTTGTCGTGTTTGTTGTACATTTTTTTGTTCGATTCAATTCATTCCGGTTTTTTCTGCTTTTTTTATTTCAATATTTATTTTTCTGATGTTGAACACATACACACACACACACACACAAATCATAATAATTGATTGATCGATTAATTTGATTGCTTTTGTTTTTCTCATTCCTTTTTTTTGTTGTTTTGTTCTGTTGATTGACAACCATATATATTGATTGATTGATTGATTGATTGATCAATCAATATATTAATTCATATTTTGTTCTTGTTGTTGTTGTTGTCCATCCAATCAATGAAATCTAAGTGTTTATTGATTTTTTTTGCCATCTTTGTTTTTTTTTTCATTTTTTTTTCATGTACATTTTCATTGTAATAATGGTTACAAATTGAATGTAAACAATTGAACAACAAAAATGAAAAAAACGAAAAAACAATCACCGTATAAATAAAATCCGGTAGCCATCGCCACAAAATGAAGATATTTTGGTCATACCAGAAATGGAATATTGTCAAAGTAAAAGAATGACTATATTTTTAGGATCAATCTATGTTTACAAAGGATTATTGATGGTAAGTTTTTTTTGTTTGTTTCAATTATTTTATTTCAAAATTTTTTCTCCACTCTCTCTCTCTCTCTTTATCATAAATCATATAGGCATTTGGAATATTTTTAGCATGGGAAACACGTCATGTATCGATACCGGCATTAAATGATTCAAAATATATTGGAATGTCCGTCTATAATGTTGTCATTATGTGTGTAATTGGTGCTGGTGTTTCATTTGTATTACGTGATCAACAAGATGCTGCATTTGTCATTATTTCAGCATTCATTATATTCTGTTCAACGGCTACATTATGTTTAGTATTTGTACCAAAGGTATTGTAGATGTTTTTATTTTAGTTTTTTTGTTATATATTAATAGTTTCTTTTCCATTTTTATTACCGTCATCATCATCATCATCAACCGATTCTGTTTGTATCCATTTCTGTTGGCTGGATTCTATCTTTTTTGTTTGTTTTTTTTTCCATCCATTCATTCATTCTATGCATACATACCTTATACACACATATATTACTTGAAAATAGCTCATTGAATTGAAAAGAAATCCAAATGCCGGTGATCGCCGTGTACGAGCTACATTGAAACCGTTTAAAAAATCACATCATGATTCTGAAGAAATTGAAATACATACAAAAATCAAATTGGCAAATGAAGAAAATTTTCGCCTTAGGCAACGTTTAAAAGAGGTTCGTGTGTCTGTGTTGTTTTGTTGTTATTGTTGTTGATTGAAAAATTTTTCTTTTTTGTTTTTGTCTCATTTTTTTTTTTTTTTGGTTATAAAAATAGAAATCATATGAGCTTGAAGCATTAACATTTCGTTTGAGAGCATTAGAAGAATCAATGGAAAAAGAATTTATGAATATAACGACAACATCATCATCATCAGGTGCCATATTACCATCACAACTACCACCACTTCCACAATCATCATCATCATTATCACCAACAACAACCACTGGTACATCAGCTACATCTATGATTTTAGCTACTAATTTTACGAATAATAATAATATTGTACGATCATCATCTACATATGCAAATAATATAATTACTGCTGCTGCCAACGAAATCATTGTCGAAGAAAATGATCTCAAACAAATCGATAACTGTGATCAAAGGTTTGTTCTGATTCTTATAATGTTTTTTTTATTTTCAAAAAAAAAATTGAGAAAATAATTTAAAATTTTCAATTCCTTTAGGAAACTTTCGGTTGCCAGCCTGAAAGTTTTATCATCATCATCATCAACGGCAGCAAAGCGGCGAAAACCAAATATAATCAAAACACCGTTAGGACATTTTGAAATACAAGAGGAAACAACATCAACATCGGCAACGGAAGTGATTGTCAATAGTACCAGTATTTTATCATTAAGCTCTGAAGCTGCTCAATTAACTGTGAAAAATAGTAAACAATCAATGACAAATGAGCCAACAATGTCCGATGTCATTACTAGTGCTTGTGATGTGGATGTTATGCCCGATGGCATTGATCAAATTAGTGATCAAAGTGCTACCGGTAGTACGAAATCATCGGATGAAATGAGTTTTACCTTTCCAACACATCATCATCATTCTAAACGAGTAACTGGAAATGGCATTGGTGATGATTCGAATTTATTTAGTCCTAATGGTTCACTAAATAATGAACAATGTTCATCAAATGGATCCGATGAAACATCGGATGATACATCATATGCAAAAGCAATCAAACAGACAATGGAATCACAAGTACAACAAGCGATTATGGCATCACATACAAATGTGATTAGTGGTGGCGTAGGTAGTAATGCCATAAATGCTACCGGAACTGATCATCATTATCATAATCATCATCAATGTGCAGCTGCACCAAGAATGACAGCCGGTCTTTTAACATCAACAGCAACCACTATAATCGGTGATGGTACAATTGGTGGTGGTTGTGGTGGTATTTCTGGTATTGGTGTTGGTGTTGGTACCACTGTCCATTTACAACATTGTTGCCATCATCATCATCCACAACAACATCATCATCATCATCATCATGTACCGGTTACTGTACATCATCATTTTCATCATCCACCACATCATCATCATCATCCACCTATTTCGGCTATATCAACACAATCATCATCATCGATGCCAACATCTGTTTCCGATTATTATTGTCAACAACAACAACAACAACAACAGCAGCAACAACATCTAATATTACAACAATCACAGCCATTGACACCGATCAATAATGGTGATGACGAAGAGGATGTTGGTGATGATGAAGATGATAACCGTAAAGGTAGTGATGATCAATACGATGAACATTATGAACGCCAATCATCTCGAATGTTTGGTGGCCATTATCCTAATATGTATTGAGTGTGAAACTAACCAACCATACACATAAAAGATAAAACACCATCCACATTATACATACACAATTACCCCAAAAATTAAAAAAAAAATTAATCAAATGCATGCTGATATATTGATCAACAACTGAATGATATGATCATTGGCATAAATATACTTATTGAATGATTGATACATGTATATTCTCGTCACATACAGAGCTAATGTTCAAGAAAATGGAAGCAGCCGCCGAAACGGAAATACCAACTATAAATAATAATAATGATGATAATGGTGATAATAATAAACCTCAAGTGATTAAAAATATCAATCCACAGCAGCACTGCCATAACAATAATAACGATTTGGGCAATAATAATAATAATAATCATAATCATAATAATGGTACGAAAACATTTCATCAACGACGAACACAAAGTTTTGGTGGATTTCTTCCAACTACAATGACGACGAGGACAACGACCGATACAACCATTATCAATACACATGAGGATTATCATGAATCATTATCGACGATTGTGACAATAACATCATCGATGGTAGCCTATGGCACACGACAAACATCTAATAAATCACCGGTTCGAGAATATTCCAGCGTTGATAATACATTGAACATTATTGATTCGATACGAATGCCGTTAACGTCATCGTCGATCTTATCTTATAATCAACAACAGCAACCATTATTTCTATCATCATCAACGACATCATTATCAACTTCGTCGTCGTTACGCCTTTATCCTTATCTTACACATCCGATTGTATCTACAACATCCTCAACAACAACAACAACAGCAGCAGCAACAACAACACATCCATGATACAGACATCTAATCATCATTTTTATACACAACAAACAGAGCAACCACCATTACATTATCGTTCAATGTTGTTCAATGATTTTCCACATAATCATTGTAATCGTCAATATTCAGCAACAATTGCTACTACTACTCATAATCATAATCATCATCATCATCAATCAAATCATATAAATCATAATCATTTACGTAGTGGACAATCATGTCCACATGTTCGTTGTGATATTGTTGAATATCTTTGAAACCAAACAAAACAAAACAAAAACACGACAAATTTTTTTTGTTTTCATTTAAATTCTTTATATACAGGCAATCTTGAATCTTGATTCTGTACAAAAAAAAATTACTACCGGATGCTCAATTGAACACCATACCATCAATCGATGATACTCGATTTGTTTTGTATTCATTCAATTTTATTCATCGTCTTAATTCTTGTTTTTTCAGTTATTTTAATTTCATCACCATCATTCAATGATAATGATCAGCAAAACAACAACAACAACCACAATTGTTTTTTTTCCATTTTAATTTCAATACCACAATTTATCGGTCGATTTTATTCGGCATTGTCATCGTCATCATCTTCATTGATTTTAAAGTGAATTATTGCCATCGATCCATGATGACGAATAAAAAAAAAATGGGGGAATTTAGTCCAACAACAACAAAAAAAATAAAATTTCAAATTTCAACGACCAACCAACCAGCATTGAAGAAAAACGCTCATTTCAAATAAAAAATTTATGACGACCATCATCATTAGTTCATATAGTTCAACCATCTATCTATCTTTAGCTTATATGACCACATTATTTCACAAGAGAAAAAAACTACAATGATTAAACAGGATGGAAAGAACAAAGAAAAAAATCGATATATGCTGATTTCATTTTTTCGATTTCTCTCTCTCTCTCTCTCTTTTATATTTTAACCAGCCAAACAAGACAACGATTCTTCATTGGTTTTCCATCAGCCTATTCCAACAATCATTTGGCTGAATGGTGTATATTCTCCATTTTTTTGGGGGTTTGTTTTTTATTATTATCATCATCATCATCATCATTTTTCGTCATTGTTGGTGTTTTTTGTTGTTGTTTTTTTTTTGTTGTTCAACATCAATGACAATGACAATGTGATCATCGTCATCATCATCATCATCATCATCATCATCATCATCATTGTGATATGGATGATGATCATTAGTCTTCATTTGGATTTACATGACTAAATTCATATATCTATATATGGCTTTGTAGAAAAAAAATGTCTATGTTGTTGATTTTTTTTTTTTGTTTTTGTTCATCATCGTTATGTTTTTTATTTATTTATTTATTTATATTCTAGTTCTTCATGTTTTTTGACCATTATTCGAATTATTCTTTTTTTTTTTTGTTAGATTCAATAGACATAAAACTATTGCTTTTTTTCCAGTTTGGTTATTATTATTATTTCAATATAGAAGCAAAAAAAACAGTCGCCATGACCAAAAGAATCGATGATCAAACAAGAAAATAAACAAAACAAAACAAATATAATACATACACACACACACACACACACGAATAAAGAATTGATATGGAACCAAAAAGAAAAAAAAACAATATTGTATGAGCTGATGATGATGATGATGATTATGTTGGTCATCAGTTTTTATCAAATGTCTTTATATATATTGCAATGTTTGTTTGTTTGTCAAATCAATGAACTATGTGTTTTTTTTGCTGATCAAATTATCAATCAATCAATCGATGATGATGATCATCATCATCATGATTACATTGAATTTTGAAAGCTAACAAAAAACCAAAACCTTGGATTCTTTTCTTCTGTTGAACATTATCAAAAATATCACTTAACAACAACAACAACAACGATAACATTTCGATCGACAAAAATTTGTTGTTGTTTTTTTTGTATTATTGTGTAATGAATTTGTTTAATTTTTTTTCTCTCAATTAGTCAAAACACACACACACACACAAACAAACAATGATTGATCTATCACAATTAATGATTGTTATATATTTTAATTGATTGATTTGTTATCTAATTGATGATTTTTGTACATAAATTTAAAATGTAAAGTTGAAAATGATAATGAGAATGGCAAAATAAAACAAAAGCCAAGAAGAAAAAAATTTTTTATTTGAAAATAAATGAATGAATGTTACATTTGTGGTTATATCGATGAATTGAAGATCAATTGATTTTTTTTTTGCAACCGAATATTGTCATTGTGTGTGTGTGTGTGTATGTTTGATGTGATTTGGAAAGCAACCAATATGAAAAGTTTCTCTACATTTTCATGAGATTTTATTTTTATTATTTATATTCGAAATTGATCGATTCCATTACAAATATTTTGGTGTATCGATCTCAGATTTTTTTTTTTTCTACATGTATAAAATCGGCTGATTGATAGCACACGACAACCATACTATGCTCATTTGGTTATGGTTAATGGTTTACATTTATATTTTGACAACCAGAATAGACAAATGTAGCTTGGAATGAATGAATGAATGGATGGATGGATGGATGGATGGATGGATGGATGGAACTTTTGGTTTCCCGGTACTCGATCCAAAATATATTCCAAGCGTCCCAAACAAAAATAAAATATAAAGATGCCATTCCTGTCAAATTATTCGCTGTATTGATTCTAGGTTTTTTTTTTTCTTTTTTTTTTTTTCCATTCTGGTTCTGATTCTTCTGGTTGGTAAATGTGTATGTATGATAATCAAATTTGTTACTATTCCAATTGCAATTGATGATGCTAACATAACAGTGAAAACTTTGTTTTCATTTCCATGTTGTCGTTGTCGTTGTTGTTGTTGTTGTTGTTGTTATTCATCTACTGTCCGATAATTTCAATGATAATCTAATCAAATCTAACTGAAAAGAATATATAGTGAAAAAAACATTGACTTATTCATTCAAGAATTTCCATATGTATACTATGATGGATGGATTGAATGAAATGTGCTGGATAAGTTTCATATATCTTAGTGGGAATTTTTTTTTCTCATTTACGAATTCATTATATATAATGCGAATCGAGTTTTTTTTACAATTCTGATTTCTTGGATGATTATAATTGATTGACGGTGACGGTAATTGTGCATACTATTTTTTTTTGTGGTGTTGCAGACAAAAAAAAACTTTATAAAACCATACAATGAAAAAAAGTGGAAAGAAAATGAAAAAGAAATGAAAAGAACATTTCTGATGGATGGATGGATCGATCGATCGATCGATGGGGTTGATTGGTAATCATTTTATTAGGATCGATAATAATCGAATACTTTTTTTTTGTTATTTTTTTCAAATGAAAAATGAAAACTGTGCAATGGAACATGTGCGCCATCTATGATCGATGAGCAAAAATTCATCTGGAATTTCTTTTGTTTATTGTTTTTTTCTTCTTTTTTTCGTTTTTTTACAAATTTTTTTTCTGTTCATTTTTTAGATCTAATTATTATAATTTCACTTCCTTAATTTTTTTTTTTTTGTCATAATTACCACCAAAAAAAAAGTTTTACTAATGACAATAAATTTTTCTCTCTTTTTTTTATATATAATAATCAAAATATATTTGATTTGTGTATCATCAAAACACATTCATTATATAACGTTATTACAGATTTATATTTCAACGATTATCACTTACATCGTATCATTTCAAAACAAATAACCAGGTAGGTTATTATTATCGTTTTGTGTGTGTGTGTGTGTGTATGAGTGAGAGATTTATTTTATTTCAGTATTTCTAACAGGTTTTGTATGTATATATTGTATATATAATACTATCACACAGCAACATCATACACCAACTTGTTGCCATTTTATTTCTTGTGTTTCTCGTGACATTTTTCTTTTTTTTCATTTTGGTTTACAAACAGCCAATTGTGTGTATTTTGTTGCTGTCATCATCATCATCATCATCAATCGATAACCAAATATCGATATATTCGTTAATAATTATCATTATCGTCATCATCACAGTAGCAACGAAAAAAAAACATTGAAACTGTTTAACGATCATTATTGTTGTTCATGTTTGTGTGTGTGTGTGTTTTACACTCAAGATTTTTTTTTTAGAAAATGGAAAAAATTTTACAAAAATGAAATTTGATAAATCCAAAAAAAAAAAAAAATCATTTTCCATTAAAATTGTGTACGTTTGTTTCGTGGTCATGATATAATTATCATGTTCTAATCACATTGATTGATTTATTGATTGATTTTATGTGAAACTTGATCATCTCTGTTCTCGATTAAAACGAATATATATCGATATTTGAATTGGTTTTGTGATAAATAACAACAACAACAACAACAACAATCATATGCCATATATCTATTAAATAAGCCTGCCTCATTCTCTTTCTCTATTTTTATTTTTATTTTTACCAAACAATTGATCCATACACACACACACAATACGCGAGTACATTTAATGTACAATGCACATGCAATATTTTTTTTTTTTTTTCATTCATGAAATTGATTTTATTTGCGAGAGAGAAAGAGAAAGAAACTGAACGAAACAAAAACAAAAAATAAAAATCATCCGTTAGAGTTATTTACAGTGTACGCGGAATGAATGTGAATTTGAGTCATCCAATACACATCCATCCATGCATTTTTAACATTAAACATCTGAAAAAAAACGTCGTCATCGAAACATTTTTTTTCGCTTAGTATGTGATCATCATCATCATCATCATCGCGTTTGCCGTTGTTGTTGTTGTTGTTGTTGTTATATTTGATTTATTCATTCATTCATTGTTTGCATTTCTTTCTACCATATATTCCACGGCAATTTGTGTGATATTCAAAACTATCAATATTTTTTTTTTTTTTTTAGAGATAATTGATTTCATTTCCTTTTTCTTTCACTTTATTTCCAAATCATCAGCCGAAATATTTATATATACCATGATCGCCGATCTTTGACTAAATATAAACAAAAACAAAAAAACAGAAACATTATTAATCTACGAAGAATATTTTCATCCAATTCAATTTCAAATTCGTTTAGATAACACGAAAAATAAAATCTACTATAATTCAATTCAATTTGATTTCATTCAATTCATCATTCATATTTTTATATGGATTCTGAAGATTCAATCATTCAGCAACAATTGCAACAACAAATTGAAAATAATCTTAGGAGTATGGTTGATAAGCTTGGTATGTATTTTGTATATGTGCTGTTTTTTGTATGACAACTTGTTGAATTTTTGTCATTTTCCATAAAAATAGTCGGTACAGAAGAGAATGCTAAACGCATTGCTAATGTTGAAAATTGTTTTGGTGTATCCGGTGTGGTAAGTTTTTGTCCCTATTTTTTTAAATTCCAGACAAAATTATTTTTTTGATTTTTTTCTTGACTATTTGAATACAGCCATTACAGAATCCGGATCGTGTACTAGTTGGTGAAGGTGTTTTGAATAAATTATGTCGTAAAAAATTAAAACCAAGGCAGATATTTTTATTCAACGATATTCTTGTTTATGGATCAATAATAATTAAGAAGAAAAAATATGCCCGTCAACATATTATTCCATTATCGAATGTAAAGATTGAAGATTATCCGGAAAAAGAAGGTAAATCAGTAATCTGACATTATCCATTGTTTCATATTTTAATTTTAATTTATTTTATTATATAAAAAAAATTCCCATCTAAATAGATCATGCATGGTTAATTCGTTCACCAACAAAATCATTCATGTTATACGCAGCAAGTGAAACGGAAAAACGAGAATGGATTAATCATATAAACATGTGTATCAAACATGAACTTGATAAAAGTAATATTTTTACTAAATCAAAAAAAAAAAAAAAACAAAAATCTAAGCAACCAATTTTTTTTTTGCAAATAAACATCATGAAAAACGTTTTACTTTTCCGTTCTAAAATGAAAAAAAAAATCCCTAAATATGTTTTTCAATTGCCTCTCTTTTTTTACAGAAGGAAATTCCGATTCAAATATTGAACATGCAGCACCATGGCTACCGGATAATCTTTCCAATCAATGTATGCATTGTAAAAAGACACAATTTACCGTGATTAATCGTCGTGTAAGTGATTCATTCAAATTTGGATTTTTTTTTCTTCTACTCTTTTGCATGATATTTTGTATGACATTTATAAAACACTCTTATGATGATGAATTGAATACACGTCATGTGATAATGATAAAAATGTTAATGTTTTAATTGATTATGAATGACTAATAATTCTTTTCCGGTTTGTTTGAAATTTTGTTTTTAATTATCATTTATCATTTATTTATTTTTAAATAGCACCATTGCCGTAAATGTGGCCTGATTGTATGTGGTTCTTGTTCGAAAAATAATTATCTACTCACAAATATAAGCTCAAAACCAGTACGTGTTTGTGATAAATGTTTTGATGAATTAACTATTCGTGATCGAATGGCAAATAATGATTTTGGTCTTGGTAATGGTGGTAATTCATCATCGAATGGTCAACAATCAACTAATCATCACCATAATAGCAGCATTGAACATCAAAATAGTAAAGATGATTCATCCGATTCAGACAGTAATCTTAACATAATGGATTTTAAAGTAAATATATAATTTATCTTTATAATACTAATGCATTTATTCTAATCTCATTATTGTTTTGTTTTCCAATCAGCCAACTTTCTATAGCCAACAGTCTTCAAAAATTTATTGATGATAAAAAAAAATCATTTGCAAATAATACAAAATGGAACCAAAAAAAAGCCAAAACGCAGATGATATTTTAATCGTTCATTTGCATGTAATCACAAGTTCATCATCATCATGATCATAATCATAATCTTCATTTTAATTATTTTTACATATTCATCGAAAATAATGGCCAATTTAATCAATCAGATTTTAATGCAGAAACATTGGATCCATTTTTTTCAATATTTTATTTTTTATTCAATTATATTTCAACTAAAACAATTTTTGTATCATCATTATCATGGATTTTAATGATTTTAACAATTCAATGAAAAGAAAAAAATTATTTTTATCGATACATTTCTTTGTTGGTTTTCTGCGGTAATCGTTTATCGGCCATACGATCGATTAGATCGAAAAATGAAAATCGATCATGTTGATAATATTCAGGACAATTATATTGATCATTACGGAACGGTTCTTCTGGTTCAACAGCTGCTTTGAATGTTTGCTGTGATGGTGGTGGTTGTGGCGGCGAAGATGTAGTTTTGTTCGATGTTTTCTTCTTGTTGGAAGATGATGCTGAAAAACGGGATAATTTTAGCATCAGTTAAGTTTGAAATGGATAAAAAAAATAATGTAAACAAACCTGATCCAGATTGACCACCAGATTTAGTAGCCGTACTATATAAAACACGTGTAAAACTTGTAAGATTACGTTTGATAATCATTTTTTCTTATGAATGATTTAAATTCAATTTTTATTTAATTAATTTAATAATGATGATAATCGTTTCAAAGTAAACAATCTGCCCTTCAATAACGGAGCACCAATATAATAATAACAATAACAAAAAAATAATTATTTTTCGTCCAGAGATGGCGATGTAATTCGGTTTTCCCTATTTAAATCGATTATTTCGTCCATCATTATCAACTTAAATAGTGCTTTTTTTATTCAACTTTCACTCAACATTTTCCACTTGTTTTTATTTTCTCAGGAAAATCGATACTCGTTTTTTTTGTATTTTAAAATTTTCTCATTTCGAATTGTCCCTTAATCACAAAATGGAACAACAAATAGAATCTGGTGAAACTTATATCATTTTTCAGCCTGTCACACAACAAATTGTGATTGATCCAAATTCTAGATCGGTGAGATTTTTTTTTATTTTTGAAACTTATTTAAAAAATAAATTTTTATGAACAGATTGCAAGCATAATGATGGATCGAACTTTATCACAAAATTATGATGTGCAAGCAATGTTAGAATTATTCACATCCAATTTACCCCAAGATCAATACGTACCGGATATTATTAAAAAACAATTCACGCGAATCATTTCCAGTTATATTTTGCTATACAATGGTGATAAACCATCACGTGCTGTATTGAGACATTATGCCGAAAAAATTGTCACGGAATTTCCGAAACTAGGTCCGATCGTATGTTATCCCGATTGACTGACAAAAATTTTCGATGATTGATTTTTTTGTTTCTTATTTATCCCTAGAGTGATTGGTATCAACGAGCCAATGTCCTCGAAGGTTATAAAAATGATACTGGTAAATTGGTTCGATGTATTGACAATATCCGATATCAACGTGGACGTGATAAAAAGCTTATCACTCTACCGGAAGATCCGGATCAATCTAAAAGAAAACGAAAAACAACTATATGTACATATCCTGATTCGAATGAAATGATAACAGCACAATGTTTGGTATGTTGTTTGTTTGATCAAAAAAAAAAAAACTTTGACTAAATAAAACCATGTTTGTTCTGTTTCACAGAAAGAACATCTAAAAACTGTGGAAGCCAAACCAGAATTTAAATATTTAATCATCGATACTATGAAATCATCATTTTGTCTACGTAAAATGATGCGTTCACAAGGCAAATCTATTATGGATTTAATCGTTGAATTTCCGCATCTAATCTCATACAATGGTGAAATGGTAAATTTTTTTTGTTTGTTTGTTTTCCATCAATAGCTTAATTCATTCATTGATTTCAACAGATAGCTCATGAATTTTCGTGGATGTATCCAGATTACTGTGATGAAGATTCCAAAAATCGTTTCATTAGCTGTAGAGATAAATTATTGCCTCTGTATTCAACAATAACTAAACCCTTCAATTTAAATATTCATCATGAATTCCTTAAAATGTTAATAGCCGTCATTCTTCGTTTACCACGTGGATTAGCTGGCAAAAAAGTAGGCAGAAATGTACCACCTTTGGTTGATTTATTCGAATTTATGACTGTAAGTTTTTTTCTCCTATCCCCATTTGAAATTTGATTTATGTATTCCAAATTTTCAGAAAGACGAATATAATCGTAATGTAAATCTTTCATCTTCATCATTCATTCGACCACATGTGATCATCGTCAATTCGATTGCCTATACCGAAGGAGAAATGTATTTGATATTCGATTCACATAATCGAATACCATTACCGAGAATGAACATTATTGATGCGTTCTTTTTGTTGATCAAATGTTATACTATATTCAATCTTTCGCCACCACCATATCAAATTTATTTATTCAATTTTTTTCAGACAAAAGTAATGGAATGTACCGAACGACGACCATTTGCCAGAGTTAATGAATTGGCTGATTATATT